TTCAGTGAATAAATTTTTCCTAATGTACAATCTAAACCTCCCTTGATGCAATTTGAGGCCATTTCCTCTTGTCCTGTCACTTTTTTGGGGCATAGTGGGCCTGATCTTGTCTCTTTGGGCTTGAAAATATCATTCTTTTCAGGATGAGTGTCTCAGAGACATTTGATCTGCAGCCCATAGTATTGAGTAGCCAAAATTTTTTCTTATTCTTAAATTGGAAATAGGGCTATAAATGTTGTTAAAGGAACTGCATCAGTGTAAATGCATCTTTAAAATGTATAGAGTTGGAAGAATTTGGATATGATATATTTACCATAGTCAAGTATACGTTACAGTCAACTACACAGGGTGCAGATTTTAAGAATAACCAAGAGTACACTGTGTCTCATGCAACACATAGAAAGATCATGAGCTTCTCATACATGATACTGTGTCTTTCTGTTGTTTTGTTTTTCCCATCTGCATAGGATTAAAAAAAGTAGTAGTGGGGGAGGAAGAGATGATTGTTTTAAAGAGTACCAGTTGTTTTAAAGAGTACTCAGAAGAAGTCATTACTTGGTTACATAAAACATGGCTTCATTTGGTAAGGTTTGTAACCAGCAGGAAGAAAACACAATAGTTTTTTTGAAATATTACTTACAACAAGAAAGTCTTACACTCACATATTGCTCTCCCTTTCTACAAATTCCATCAGAGGCTGATTTTTCACTGTGCTTGAATGGATGGTAAAACATCGTGTGGGAAGGTGCTGCTTACCTGTCTATTCCAGTTATATTTACTTCCTTATGGAGAGATGGAATGTGAACCTTCTCTGTTTGTGGAGGCCAAAGCATTTTTTGGACATGTTTATACTAGAATAAACTTATATTGAAGTATATGAAACATCCAGAGTTACCTTTTTGTTTACCCTATTTAAACGCCCACCACATAAGCTTAATTATGCTTTTCGTGGTGAAGACTAAAGGGTGAAACTTTTAGGAGCACTCAAAATTCACTGACTTTTTATTGCAGTGGTTTCAAGACAGCTTTCTGTCATTTTTAATAAAAACAGAAGTTAGAGCAGTGCTGGGCACATGTGAAAATCCTACCTATAATGTGCACTTTTATTGTAGAAAAGATTTATACCTTCTTTCAAACTGTCTTAGGAGACCAGCTTAACATGGAAAGTATTTTATTGCTTAAGAGATAAACAATTGCAGCAACCAGAACCCAAGAGTGTTTTTAATCTCAATTAAAAAAAGACACAAAAGGTCAATTAGTGCTTTCAAATGTTGGTGCAGAAATCAGAGCAGGCCACTGTGAGCCCACACATATTTTGCAGCCAGATTTCTGTTCTAGTAGTTCTGTATTTTGCGTGTGAGAGCCATTGCACAGCATCTGTTAATGTATTGTTGAAATGAAATCACAGTCACACCTACCGACGGGGGAAGTGGAGGCAGGCACTGTCATTACTCCTCCCCCCTCCCCCGCACGTCCTGATGGGCCGTTTGGCCTCTCGACAGCCCCGGTGATGCAGTGATATTTCACAGTGGCACGAGAGGGTTGCCAAGCAGCAGCTGCTTTTGCCAAGCACCTTGTTTGGAGCCGTGACTGCTCAGCATGTCTATTTGTGGCATGTAGTGAAATGCTCAGCGGGCCTGGCCAGCCACGAGCCTTCTCTGTAAGAGTCCCCATCTGCCTCTGGCAGCCACCAGCACAGGCAGCCAGATCTGAAAACTCTAGAGAAAGCAGGGTCGAGTGAGGTGGCAGTTATCCTTCAGCAATGATTAGGCAGTGTGGCTATTTTTGCTATTGTTTTCCAAAGCCCTTCTCCATAACCACAGTGAGACACTTCTCCTTCATTCGTCTGCCATTTCTTTCAGCACCTTCCCTACCATGAATTTTGATTTCTGATAAAATCCTCAGTGTGCCAGGGAGGACTCTCTGTCTTATTCCTTCCTACATACCTTTTCCACTTAAACACTCAACTTCCCCCTTTTCTCCATAACATTGTGTCCTTAACAACAGGCTGGTAGGTTTTGTCCCAGATCCCTTGGGAAGCTGCTGCTGCAAATCAACAACCCCTTACATGCTTCTGACTCCCTGTGGATGGTTTCACCTCAGGGTAACCTAGAATTCCCTAATGAAAATTCAGTGTATTTTTAACTAAATATTTCAGATCTTGGCAGCATGCCTCCTGCAAAATGACAGAAAAGAGAAAGATGGCCAGCTGCACTGGATTTGTGGATTACCAAACCTTCACAGTAGCAACTGTGTTTTCCACCAATAGCAGAAAGGCCCTTTTTAAACTCCTGTCAAACTCCTTTCTTGATTAATGGAAGACATTGGGAGTCATTCTACCAGCAGCAAAGGTAATATGCCTGGAGAACCAGGCAGCTTATTGCACATATGGAGTTCTATTACCTTGTAGGACTGCTTCTTAGAAAAAACCAGGAAAATTAAAACAGGATTTTTGGATGGACATCTTACTGCACTGACTCGCCATACTACTTGCGTTGCTACAGCCACGCAGAAGACTGCTCAACAGCAGCTGAAGAAGCAAGCAAATATTTTCCTGTTGACAACAGAGGACACAAGGCAGCACAAGTGGCTTCCAGTTACCTGGGTCACATGTGGATTTCAGGTTACTACTGCAAGGACTGTAGACGTCCACCAGGAGAAAAACAGAACTGTCTTGATTTGCAGCAGCAGCCTCCCAGCAGAATTGCAAGTGATCTGGGACAAAACCCAGGAAAACAGTTGAGAAATTGTTGAGAAACAGCAATAAGGGGAAGAGACAGACCGACTTGCTGTTTCTTATCTTAGTGGCTTGGTACACCTACACTAATCCTGGATGAATCAGCATGTTTAGTCCATTGCAGTCTATCTCGCTGGAGTTTTTTATACCCACAGAAGCTTAGCACTGGCCTGTGCAGAAAATGTTTGAGAGGCAAGATGGAGAAGAAGAGCCAGCATCAGTATGCCTGCATATCTGTTGGCAAACACTTTTCGTTTTCACTGGTGCTCCAGTGGACGCAGAAACCTTTTGTTCCAGGACTGTTTCCTGCAGCGGTGCTCTGGCAAGGTCTTTGTGGTCTACGGCTACAACCTGAGCATCTCTTGCCCCGTGACAGATAAAAATAGGGCTTGAGCTGCAGCCAAGCTGTGTCAGTGGTGTGGGTGCAGCCTCCTTAGCCTGTTACAGCTTGTAACTCTTGGTAGCTCTGATGCAGGATGCATAAGCACACCTAGAGATGGATAAATAAGCAGGGTCATGCTGCCTGGGTCCCACCTACCCAAGCAATAGCTTGCCCAGGGGTTACTCCTTGTTGAAGGGAAGTGAAGGAAAGATGCCTGACCAAACCCATCCCACAAATTTGGCAGCAGCAGCAGTGTAGGGCTGTGTTGGCCAGGCTGTGGGAAGACAGCTACATGCGAGTTCAGGCCTGCATGGAGAGGGGCGTGTGGGCTGCTGTATGCTGACTGAGCAGTCTGTCCCAACCAGTGCTGAGAGATACAGCCAAAACACATCATCAACCAGACCCTCAGGTCCTAGGAAGGTGAAGGTATATTAAGAAGTTTTAGCCTTGATTGGACCTTCTGTCATATCCTGTGACAGGACAAGAGGAAACGGCCTCAAGTTGTGCTGTGGGAGGTTTAGATTGGAGATTAGGACAAATTTCTTCATGGAAAGGGTTGTCAAGCACTGGAACAGACTGCCCAGGGAAGTGGTGGACTCACCAACCCTGGAGGTATTTAAAAGGTGTGTACTCAGTGGTCTTGAAGTCTTATCCAAAAATGATTGTTTGATTCTCTGATCTTCAAGTCCTAATTTCTCTGCTTGTTCCCTCTGCTCATCTCCTTGTCATCCTCTGCTTTCTCCTCCTCCTCCTCAAAGACTAGCAGATTCTTCAGATACCAAGGTATTGTGTGTCAGGAGCACAAAGTGCATGTGGTTCTGCAGTTCAACTGATTGCAAACAAGGCTGAGCCAGTCCAACGCAAGAGGTAGTTACTCAAGAGAGTTTTCCAAAAGCCTGCCTTTTCTGCAGTTAAAAGTTGTGGGAAACCAAGTATCTCACGTCTGCCACAAGCACTGTGCTTCAAGTAGGGAAAGCTTGCAGTAGTGTAGTTATTAGCTAGAGATCTGCAGCTAATCAGCCCCGGCTTCCCTCGTAAGTGGTGCACAACAGGATTTTTAAATAGAATATGAACATAAAATAATTACAACATTAGGAGGGCATTCTGTGGTGAAGGAATAATTGTTTTTCATTCTTTCTTCCTAGTCTTGCTTTCTCAGTTCTTTAATATCCACAGTAAATTCCTTCAGTAAATGTTCTTATGTGCAATTGATCTAAATGCAGCACATCACTGGAAATAAAGCTTTAGTTTTCCTCCTTCATATATTACCCATTATAGCATATGTGGCAGTTTGGTTAGTGGCCTGTGAAGCACAACATAAATGTAACTATCCATCTGTACCTGTCCCTTCTCCAAAGTGCTGACACAAAGAAAGATGCCTATGGATAAATTCAGCGCATAGGACAGCAGAAGACACAAGCAAAACATTAAAGGCATTTTTTTCACCATAATTAATATACTGTAGCATTAAAGCAATATTTACCTAGTGACAGGATTCTTTCTCTTTGTACTTCCCACTGCTGGTTTGCCCATGATAAAACATTGTTTGAATCTACCTCCATTCCCCCCTCAGCAGAAAGTAGCTGTGGACAAGTTTGTTGGTGAACATATTTGCTCACATACACTACTCACACCACAGCTCTCCTGGGCAGCTTCTGTCAGTAGCCAGCAGCAAAGACCCTTTCCAGCATCCGAGTTTACATGAGGGCCTAACACGAAAATTTGCTCCTCTCTGCACAGCCAGCCTCAGTAAATCACAGTGTGACAGGCTCACCGCCCCGCCACTGAACTTTTAACTTGAAGCTCTAGCAGGGCACTGAGTAGCTCTGGCTACATGACACGGAACTGTGAAAGTAAATCACTTCGCTGGGAACAAGGGGAAGTCCAGCATACTGTTTTGAGGCTTTGCCTACAGCTTCTTTGCAGTATAAGCATAGAATATATACACCCAGGAAGGCAATCAGAGAGAGATGGACTTCCAGCACAGAGCTCACCCGTACCCCATCCCAGAGGATGAAGAGGTTGCATACAAGGTTGCTCCTGATGCTCACAACTCTGCAGGAAATGAAGGAGAGAAACCAGTGTCAAAATTGCAACGTAGGCACAGTGAAATAAAACTCTACAAAGAGTTCTGTGACTTCTATGCAAAATTGTAAGTTCATTCTGTTCAGCTTTGGAGTGTAGCTGCAGTGACATTGCATGTGTATTGTACTTATGTATTTTATTATCTGAGATTTGTGCAAGATGTTCTCTTACCCAACCTTTGCCACTGTTCTGCTTGAAACATTGCCAGTGGTAACTGCCAACTAAAATTGGAGTTGTTGCTTTAAATTTCATCATTAATTGCATCAGAAATTTTTATCAGCAGTTAAAATGGGGTTGGAATTTGTCAGGTAGTCTCTCTGCCTTCAGGTTGTTTGCGTGTTATCTTGGGCAAATGGATAAACTGCTTCATCAGTGCAGAAGTATTACATATATCACTGATTTTGCATATATGATGTGTTTCAAAGTGAAGCACTTTTGTGTACTGAGGAGGAAAACTTAGTGTTTTCATTTGATTTTGAACTTTGTTTCATGTTTTTGCTTGGATTATACTTTATGTATGCCAGCGCTTAACATCCTTAGTGCTCGAGCACTGTTGAAGTGATGATGAAAGGTCCCAGTTTCTGTTGTGATTATTCCTCACTTAGATTGATAAAAAGGATGGGGAAGTTGACTGAGGTCTTCCCCCACAGAAAGCATATACAATCCATGGAGACCATCAGCAAGCTGCATACTTAATCACAGTTCGGATGTATAGTCACTGCAGTTTGTCCGTAGGTCTGTCTGTTACCTATGGGTGAGACCATCCTCCCCCTCTGATCTTCGAGTGAAATTTGCCCACTTTTGTTTCACTGGAACAGCAATGAATATTTAGATAGCAGTTACTGTTTTTCTCTTCTACAAAGATCTTTAGAGAGAGAGAAAAAAAGTGCCAGCTAATAATAACTGGTCAGATTTGACCTTGCATAGGGCTCTTTTGTGAGACAGTGTAAGAAATAGATAAAACACATTCCATTTTGAACCACGTGCTAGGTGTTTGCTTGCTCCTTTGGATGGTGTGCACGGAATGAATTCAATTCCTATTGAACCTGGTGGGAGCCAAGAGGTCTTATCCCCTTCTGGGGATAAAAAGGAAGTCTTGGCATCTTGCAGAGGACTGAGGGCTCTGCACTTACAAGTACAGCATGACAGCTGTACCAAAATGTGTGCATGTGTGCATATGTGTTTAAAATAATGTCACTTGTCTAATAATCTTCCAAATAGATGTTTTGAGTCAGTGATTTTGTCAGCTGAGGTCAGATTGTAATGAAACTAGACCATTGCTCTATATTTGCTCTCTGCTATCACATGGTATTAGGGCAGAGAGGTGATCTTGAAAGGCATAGCTTTGAGAGTCTAGATAAGAGTAATAAAATATTTGCAAAGGAAAAATCAAGAGAGCCTTTTCCTGGCGTTAATTAACTGAAACACAGCTGTAGTGTCTTCTGCAGATGTGGACATGAACCCAGTGAAGTAGCTAATTCCTCTAATGTTTTGCAACTACCACACTGCCGTTTTTTGGTTCTGTGCCTTTGAGAAGCAACCAAGGTTGCTATTTGAGTATATTTTTGCATCTCTGGTATGGGTTTATGACTTTGTGTTGGGCTGCATGTGGGTTGCTGTGGGGCAGCTGGAGCATTCCCATCCTCTAGCATGGCCCTGGAGTGGGCTGTGAGTTTGCACATTGTGATCTGAGCTCTCTGAGATGAACCTTCACAAACCAATCAAAAATCCCGTGACTTCAAAGTCAATTTGTAAAATGACCTCAAGCTATGCAGAGCTTGTATAAGGGATAATTGTTTACCTACTCTGATTGTTGTTAATATCTACCAGACTAGATACTGCACACTCTTTCACATTGTTTATTTAGAACTTTGAACTAAGGCTGTTACATATATATTTTAGAATTAGGAATTCTTTAGAATTAATCATTTATGTTTTCCTTTGTGGTGCTAGTCCTCAATTATTGTTAATATTTGCCCTTGTTTTCTGTAATTCTAATATATTTCATAATTTGCCCTTGTTTTTTGTAATTCTAATGTATTTAACAATTTTTGTAGTACTTTGAATTGCCTGTCTTTTCGCATCATAAAAAGCCTGTAAATTTATAACAACATTTTTGTTGTAACAACATTTCTGTTTGGTTTTTTAATTAATTAGAGTTCATCATGAGGATTTTGTTTCTAAAGAGTTTAGGAGCAGGGAGAAGTGGTAGTTTTATTTCTGAGGGAATACTACAAGCCATGAAGTCCATCGAAAAACTTGTATTGAGCAACCTTGCATTAGGCGGATGCAGTTTGGCCTTGGGGAAAAAAAAAGACCTACAACCAGTGTTGTTGCCTATTTAAGCTAATTTTCTTTCTATTTCTTTTTGTGTTGTTTTTTTTTTTATTAACAGCAACATGGCGAACGCGCTTGCAAATGCCATCTGTGAGCGCTGCAGGGGCGGCTTTGCCCCTGCCGAGAAAATAGTCAACAGCAACGGTGAGCTGTACCACGAGCAGTGCTTCGTCTGTGCCCAGTGCTTTCAGCAGTTCCCTGAAGGGCTCTTCTACGAGGTAAGCAGGGCAGAGTGCCCCTCTCACCCCCAACCTTTGTCTTGTGCCTTCTTTCCCATACCAGGATTAGCTACAGGCAGATCCATGGCTTAGAAAGTCCCATGGTCAGAACTGGGCTCTGGAACGATATGCCCAGTAAAGGGAGAAAAAAGCCAGGAAGCATTTCTATGCTAATTTGAAGGACAACAGTATATATAACCTTATTTAAATATGGAGCCTAATGTTATCAAAGCTGAGAAAAAACTGCTGGAGATTCCTTTTTCAGTGCAGATTTTTTTCCCTGCAGTTTGTGAATCTGATGTATCATACCAAAAATACAGAGAAAGCATACTTCTTAGAGGAGGAAGTCATATAGAGGGAAATCCCAGCATCCTGTGGGCCCTAGAAGGTTTATTGCTGACTTGAGTGAGGCCAGCTCGGCATGTGAAAAGAGATGACCTGTAAGTCAGCATGCTGAGATCAGGATGTATGTAGAAGCCAAACCAGGCAGGGCCTGTGTAGGGTCGACTCTAAGACACCAGAGCATCTAAAATTACCAGTTCTTAATGCACTTTCAAAGGTTAAAACCTGTTCTCGTTCACATTTCTCGTCTCTAGGTCAATTGCCCTCAGCTCAGATGGGTATTTTGGTATCAGTGTTATTTTCTTTTACACTCCCCTATTATGGGGATTCAGGAGAAAATGCAGGTAAAAAGTGGCTTTATTGAAAGCTTTAGACTGGTTCATAAAATACAAAGTGATTGGTATAAGGAACAATAGATGGCATGAGCTGGGGAATTAATGTCTGAGAGATAAGATCCCTGCTCAAGTAGCTTATAGTCCAACTTAGGGTAGCAGTTACAGGACTTAAGTCATACTATGATCTGAAAAAGCAGGTGAGCAGTGTTTTAAAAGCACGAGTCTGTGCTCTGACAGACAGTTGTGCTCCTTATGGCAAGAGCACAACAGTTTATCTTCCAAAGGATCATTTCTAACTTTACAGAGCCATGTTATGGGGTGATGAGGAGAGGCTGAGAGAGGAGTGTGAATAGGAAAAGAGACTGTCAAAAGGGATTCCTGGGGATTTGCTTTCTCTCGCCTTGTCAAAAGACTTTTCCATGCACCAGGGATAGTCTTGCAGAAATTGTGGTAAATGACTAATATTCCATAAGACATCAAAAGGTGAACTGCAAGGTAGAATTAATTAAATCAAAACAGAAGAACAACCCCATGATATTAACACATTGATTTACAATTGTTAATATATACTGATCTGCTACCTGCTTGCAGGCACAGTAAAGAGTCCATCCTGGCGTGTTAAGACCTGAGGCAAACGTAAAGTGATTTGGATGTTTCAAAACTAAAATATTTGTAATTGTGTTAAAACTGTCTTAAACCAATAAAATGTATTTTCTCTAAATAGTGAGTACTTTATTCATACTTTTTCTGACTCAAAAAGCAATGAGATATTCCAGGGACTTCTTTCAGAATGTTGAATAGTCTTTTGTTAAAGATAAGTTTGAGGAAATTGTGCTCTAGGCAGCCTGTGTCTCCTAGGGGATGGACAAGGACTGCAGTGGAAGGAAAGTCTTACTTTGGGGCCTAGGTCAGGAACATTACAAACTCCCTGTTGCTCTGGGTGCTTCTAGGTGCCCATACCTGAATCTGTAGCAGAGGCAAGGATCTTAGATATATTGGATGTAAGCGTTTTCCTTCCTATTGCTGCCTTGTTAACATTCATATTCATGACAATTGGTCTTTGAGCACTCTTACTGAAACATGCTGCTCTCAAAGACAGTAAGTCAGAAGTGAGTGCCAATAGATTGTCCTGGGAATGAAAATATCCCCATGTACTAAATGTGTTTTGGTTAATGTTGCTACGTTTTTTTTCAGGCTGGATAGCCTGAGAAATGTTATGTAGAAAGTGGGAAGTTTCAGTTAAGCATAGACACTTCTTGCCACAACTATTACAGAAGTAAAATAACATCAGATAGGCTGAGGGAGCTAGGCCTGTTCAGACTCAAGAAGAGACAACTGAGAAGTAGCAGTATACTATTATCAGTGTATATAATTATCTGAAGGGAAGGTGTCAAGAGGATGGAACCAGGCTCTTCTCAGTGGTGTCAAGCAATAGGAGAGGAGGCAACAGACAGAAATTGATGCACAAGAAGTTCCATCTGATCATAAAGAAAAACTTCTTTAGTGTGTGGGTGACCACACACTGGAACAGATTGCCCAGAGATGTTGTTGAGTCTCCCTCACTGGAGGTATTCAAGAACTGTCTGGACACAGTCCTGTGCAATGTGCTCTAGGCTGACCCTGCTTGATCAGGAGGTTGGACCAGATGACCCACTGTGGTCCCTTCCAACCTTGCCCATTCTGTGATTCTGTGAGAAGAAGGGACAGCCCTAAGCAGGCAAAAGGTGGGCTTAGGTTGACCATTACTCAGGAGTGGCTGACAGTGCTCTGGGGACTTGAGATAATCTGTATCACTGTCAAGAAAAAATGAGTGGAGAAGACAGGCATAAAGGATGTCTTCCTCAGATTGCCTTTATGCAGTCTTCAAGAAGATGGAAGTGTTTGCAGGTGTGGCCAGGTAATGTGTCTTTCTGAACATGTTCCCCATGGGTAGACGCGGGCATTGTTGGTTGCCCAGCAGGAGTTTGTGTTTATTCTGTGCCTGGTTTAGCTAAGCTAGTGTTTCTTGGAAATGATTTCTAGCTCTTAGCAATTGGGAAGGCAAATATTGTTACCCTGCCTAATACAAAACTTGCAGAGTTCCTCCAGTTAGTCATTAAGCTGCTTATCACATTTGCCGTCAAACGCTGCCATGATAAGCTTTCACTCTGTGTTCCGTGGGTGGGGGTTGAACTGGTCAGAGAGATGCAGGTCTCCTTTGCTGCAGGACATGTGTCCAGGCTGCCTTGCAGGGACCCTGATCAGCACAGCTTGCTGTGGTCTGGCACTGGAGCCAAGTCACTTGCTGGCACAAGTGGTACCACACCAGAGCAGTGCCCCTCCACCGCTTGGAGTCAGCACAGCACAGCAGGAGTTTTGTAGATGTCCTCATGAACCTGTGTTAGAAATGGTAATTTGGATTCCTGAGAACCGTATGCCTAATATTGCACAGAAACTGTGGGTTTAGGACCTGCAAGGGTATAATTGTGTTCCAGTTTGCTCAGCAGCATCATTTTAGCAAGTTTTCTTATGCACTCGACCTAAACAAAGATTAGCACAAGCACATGCCAGCAGAATTTCCAAACTTGCTCTGCTCTGGTGTCAGGTGTGAAGTGGTAGCAATTCTGGTCTACTTTTACTCCACCACCTGGGAGATGTGTATTCCCTAGAGCAGCTGCTGCAGAGTCTCAGTGCAGGTAGCACTGCAGGTAGCAGTACAGACGGCTTGAGTGGAGACCTTCAGTCGCAGCTGGCAGTGCACTCAGAGGGACAGGGTGGCCCCACTGTAATCAGTCAGTGGGCATTTCCTCCAACCCACATTACTCTCAGGTCATAGAATGGCTCCTTCCTTCTAGAGGTTGCCCATGTCTCCCACTGGGGAGTGTGGACACCTCACCTTCAGATGGGGGAGGTTAGATAAGAGAAGTTGTACCTCTGGTCTAGGTGTTTGTTTAGAGCCTTGTGCTGTTTGTTTTCAGAAGCATCCTAGCCTGCACTGTACTGTGCTGCGGTGGAGGAGAGGGAAGGGCTTAGAGAGGTGCTTCCCAGAACAGAAGCAATACAGCAAAATCTTTATGGACTACTCACAACAGCCATAATTGGGAAATATATATTACTATTATTGTTGTTGTTGTTTTATCATAATAACAAAATAATATGGAATAGCATGTGACTTTTGTCTCTTGAGAGGAGGTTTCTTTCAGTTCGGTTCTTTTTTCTAAAATGTTCGTAGTAACCTTTAAGAAGATTAAAGGAAGGTGCAGTTGCAATGCGCTTGTCAGATTTGTTTCTATTCCAGTTGCACCTTGTGTGTTTTCCTAAAAGAAAGAGTGTTTTCCTACCAGAAACTACCTTAGAGAGAGAATCTTTAAAGACTCAGGTTTTGTACATGTCTTTCCACTAAGTTAGCTAAAAACACACAAATAAGCTGGTGGCTGTGTAACAGTGAGATGTTCTATGCAGAGCCATTTAACTCATGGACCTCCAGCATACAACAGTGAAACTATCTTGCTTTTGAAATATGTGCCGTGAGATTTGTTACAGAAACTCAAGGCTTTCTCTGATGGATAACTGCTAGGTCATCTACAAGAGCAGCACAAATGAGTCAAGAAGATTGAAAAAAATACAAACAAGACTGAATGGGAACCAACCCACCTGACATAAACCAGATGGGAAGAAAACCTGTTTGGTCCGTCCAGATCAACATGTGGTGGCTTTAAAATCCTGCAAACCTAAGCATCCCCCATTGGACCACCTGTTTACACAGAACAGGAAGCTTTTGAATTTTTTTCAGTTTGAAAAGGATTTTATCTGGCAGGAAGCAAGCACAATTCACAATGAACAAATAATTTCCATTGCTCCTTGAGAACGTAATAGCCCTCTGCCTCTCAATTACTATTTTTTTAAAAAGCTGAAATTAAAAAAAATAATCTGTTTTACAGTATTACACTGAAATAGCACTTGATAAATTCCTAGTAGAGACTTCTGAAAGAGTCTGTATTGAGCTCAAGTCTTTCTGTTCCTAATAGGTGCAATTCAGGTTGGGCAGAGGAGTTTTCTAATCTCAAGTACCCAGTGACTTTGAGAGTATTCTGTTAGATCCCCACCCTGCCAGTTGCAAGAGTATTTATTATATTTATATTGTATTTGATCCTTGCAATTTCATAGTATAAAACAGGTAATCTTGAAACACATTGCTGTATTTTCTGTCCAGGCACAAAAACTTACTTTGTGGGTAGTATTTTATGCTATTTAATTTGTTTTGTATTAGACACAGTAAAATGAAAGGAGCGAGGTTTCCTGCTGTCCTCATTTTTCCACTGTTTTAAACTGAGACATTCAAATCCAAACATTTTACAGTATACCTAATATTGTCTATCTGGTTTTGACATGCCAGTTGGCATTTGTATCTGGTAATAGTGGTGCCTGAAGGTATCTAAACATTTTCCTTCATCTCAGCACATACTTGCCTACATGTTTTTACATATTCTTTGGCTAAGCTACTAATGCAATGCTGTTGAATTTTTTTTAATTCCATATGGGTTTTTTTATATGAGAGCTTGAACTGTAGCTGAACTCATCTAGCCTGTGATAAAATTCAGATCCAAGTCCAAATCCCTTAAGATCAGATCTCAATTTAATCTGATCGATGTAGTGAACTTTGTTCCTTAATATTTGGACTTGATTATCTTAAGGGTCTTTTCCAACCTAAATGATTTCTATGATTCTATGAAATAAGCATCACAAAGGAAAAGGCTTATTTTGCTTCATGTTTTGGCTGTACTACTCCATAAAGTCAAAGATTTCTGTCCCTGGATGTTCTTCCTCTCCCTACCCCCATCATACTTACTGCCTCCAGTATGCTGGGTCATTCTTGCAGGAAATGTAGAGTCAGGAAGACATCAAATGGGTTCAGGGAAAATGCTTTCCCTCTCCCACTGCCCAAGGGTTTTTGTTAGCTAATTTCCTGCTCAGAATGTGCTCTGTTGCATCAGAGTTTCAGCAGTCCATCAAAATTCAGAATTCAGATGTCTCTTGTGATATAAATTGATGGCGGAAGATACCTTAGACTCTTGGCAGCATTGGAGGAATGGTGTGCTATTAACACTACATGCTAACTAGTAGATGAATAAAGATGGGTGGATGTAATGCCTAGCACCTATAGCTCATGGTCTGGGTTTTTTTGTGCAGCCCCTCATGTTTTACTACCTAATTGTATCTGGAAACACACCAGGGTGTTACAGTATTTATGTTAAGAGCGTGTTCCTCATTCCTCTAACACTCAGATCTTTTTCCATTTGCAGTTTGAAGGGAGGAAGTACTGCGAACATGATTTTCAAATGCTTTTTGCCCCTTGCTGCCATCAATGTGGTAAGTTTTAAATCAAGGTGAACCACTTGATCACAAATGGGAGTGTCACTGGGGGAAGAAAGGCGACCCCTTGTGTGTGTTCTCAGGGAAGTGGCCCTGTGAACTTGCAGAATGTACTAAACTTCAGAGAATTTGGGGAGCTGCTTTTTCTAAAGGTCAGCAAACAACAGTATTTTTTAAAAAAAGTTTGCATTATTTGAGTAGGTAGTTTAGCTGTTGAGTCAGTGATCCAATGAGCAGACCATTCATAAATTTCTGATTATATACACCATTCATGACTCTTGATTCCATATCTCTGTATTTCTGCATATGCTCATATTTGGCCCTTCTCATGTATCTGAAACCCTGCAACAAGGCTTTGTCATCTGCTTTGACTATTGTAACCCACCTGTGCTGTCCTACTCCACAGAAGCTGGGACAATCATCATTAGCTGGTGATATAATCAAGTGATGGTCAGCTGGGCCCCTGTTGATTTTATTGAAACAAATACCTTTAGGGCTTCAGCATCTAATATCCACCCTATGTAATTCTGAGGGCTGCTTTTTTTATTCGCCACTGTTAATGCAAATGCTTGTGCGCCTACTGTGCTATAATCATTTGCATGTTTTCTTTTTTCCCCTGTGTGTGACGTATTTTGCTGGGGCATGGCTGGGAAGTCATTATTTGACTATTACTTAAACCAGTCTGGAAGCTCTTGTGTTTCTATGGCACCCTGGCAAGGCAGTAGGCTTTCACTTATCTCAGTGAGGCCTTTCCTTGTTTGGAGGGAGGGGTTGAACACCAAGGGAGGGGGAAGCAGATGTTATAGAACTTTGCATTTAAAGATGTGAACAAGCAGAGAAAGAGGAAGAAGTGGGTTGGCAGTGATTCCTGAGGAGCTACACTCCCTATCTCCAGGATTTCTCCTGCCCAGCCGGCACACCCCCCCCTTCTGTCCTGGCTCCATGTAGTGCCAACTCCCTTAAAACCTCATCAAGGTTCTGCACAGAGCTGGGCTTTCCCACTGCTTGTACTTAGTAAGCAGAGCCACAATCAATGGGACTGTTGTCACAATGGCACCTCAAGCATTCCTCACATTTCTGGAGTCCATCAGGTTTTGTTCCTAGATGTTCCTTTGTTACCTGCCTGATCCTTCCCCTTTGAGTCGAGTTGTTCTCCAAAGCCAGGACGCAGCCTCCCTCAGCCCTGGGAAGCTGAGCTCCCAAACACAATTTAGGCCAAGCCTTTACACTGCTCAGGGGCCTTGGCTACACCCCGAGGGTTAGAAGCTGTGTGTGTGTGTGCAGCGTCACTGCAGCTTTGCATTTGGACTCCATGGGAGGTTTTTTTTGCAGGAGGTCCACAGCCACCCAAGCTCAGTGCTATTGTGCTTTGAGTATAGAGCCCCATCAAGGCTTGGTCCTAGTGGAGTAGAAACCAGTGCTATGTACATGACAAGTTAAGATTGTCATCTTAAAGAAAAGAAGGAGAAGGATGATTGGGACACAAGAAAGCCATATTATATGAAGTACTCCATAAATTTCTTAACAGCTTGAGAACAGATAAGTAAAAACAGGGAAGAGACTGAAAAAAGATTATTGCAGAGAGAAGGTGGAGTGTGCATGAAAAGGACTTGTGTGTAAAGAGCAGAATGTTCTCCATCAGCAAGGGCATCTTCTTCTGACCCATAGCAAAAAACAATGAAAAAACCCAAATTACAGAGTTTGGAATCAGAACCATGATACTGCAAGCAATGTGTCCTACCAGATTTTGGGGAGAGGAAACGGATGATGATGTCATTGCAGTGCTTTTAACTTTGTCTGGAATGGTATTTTATATCCTGGTGTTGTGTTTCTTACAGGTGAGTTCATTATTGGTCGTGTTATTAAAGCCATGAACAATAGCTGGCATCCAGAGTGCTTCTGCTGCGATATCTGCCAAGTAGTATTGGCTGATATTGGATTTGTCAAGAATGCTGGCAGGTAGATCTCCACTCTTCCTTTTATTAACTGGTCATAAATTAACTAATAGGGGGGACTGAGAGATTTTGGTTCCTGAAGCTTTCCAGCTCAGATGGAGCAACTGAAGCATCTTCTGTGGGGAAGAGATCTAAGAGTGCATCACAGAACTAAGAATGGGTACCTTAAAATATTAACATTGTACCTATTTCAACAGTAGGTTTCTTGGCAAACATGCTCTCTACCCAGTGACATTTTGGGGCCATTGTTATATGTAAAAAGAGAGAAAACATTCAGATACAGAAGTACTGTCTTTATTTTTTTAAAAAAACATTTTTACTTTCTTTTTCCAACGGGCTCTCCAATTTTGGTCTAGTTTGGCATCTTATTTATTAATATTCCTTTATGTTCGGTGGGACCCTTCATGGAGTCGGATATTTTTACCAGCTATGATCAGAAGAATGTTTTACAGGTGAATTCTATGGCCATTGCCTTCATATGTATAATATAACATACAGAATTATCTACAGAATTACGATTTGTGTAGTCATCCAGCTTCCAATCTAAATTTCTAAGATTTTGAAAGTGAAACATTCAGCAACAACAATCTGTAGCAAACTTTGTTTTCTGTGTTTCAACATAGCTTAAACTCAGCTGAAGAAATGATACTCCTGTGGAGACGGAAAATAAAATGATCACCCTGAACTTAGGAGAGATAATTTTGCTGCTCTGAACTTGGTTTGCCTAGCAAAGAAATTGTTTTAAAGATTACTTTCCCCCTCCCAAAGGACTGATTGAAATGAAGTTTGGATAGATTTTTGCGGTGTAGTACTTGGTACTAGTACTTACCTCTCTTTTCTTATGTTGTTTCAGACATCTCTGCCGTCCTTGCCATAACAGGGAAAAAGCCAGAGGCCTGGGAAAGTACATTTGCCAGAAGTGTCATGCCATTATTGATGAACAGCCTCTCATATTCAAAAATGACCCTTATCACCCTGATCATTTCAACTGTGCAAACTGCGGGTAACTTGAGTTCTGCAAAGGAAAACAGGAAAATGCTGGGCTTATTTGATTCATGGATTTACATCTTAAAGTGAAAACTTGTCCTGTGCAGCTGGCAAGAGGGAATGGGGTTTGGATGTCTTGTGGCCAAATGTGTGTTACTGCTTTTGGCATGGTAGCATTTGAACAACAGCTGAACTGTTGGGGAGTAAAGAAAGATTGGACTCTGCAGGACAAGATGGTACCTTACAAAATACGAAGTATGGACATAGATACAGCAAAACGATAGTTCTTTATTCTGCTAGGAGAAGAAGAAAAATGGTCCTCTTTTCCTGCTTGAATTACTATCTTTCCTATGTTATTTCTTTTTAGTTGAGTGGTATGCAAACTTTGTTCTCTCTTTTTAAAGGCTATCCTTTTTAGGAGCTTTCTCCCACCTCATTTTGTCAGCTTCTGCTGCTGCAGCATTTGAAACTGCACATTTCTACATCCTGCACTGATGCACGGACCATGGGGCGTTGTAGGACATAGCATGGATTCTTAGTTGTTTCTTTCTGGTGCAAAGGAAGCTACTATTTCAGCGCCATACCAAAGGCTGATTTGAATAACAATATGTAGTGTTCTGTCAGTGGCAACCAGTTGAGAGTATTAGTGGTTATGGTCACTTTTAAGGTTTATCTGTTCTCAGTATCTAACCATGCAATTTACTGAAAAGTAGAGTGTATGAGATTCTGCAATTGGAAATGAATAAACCTAGGTCGTTTGGGTCTGTAGTTTTCTTTCAAGGAAAATGTACCTCGAGGTAGAGGATTACATTTACTTTCAGCTACAGTTATGCAAATCTGAAATAAACTGGTAGTGAGTGCCAGTATATGAACCAAACATCTGCAGCTTTCACACGCACATTTGTGCTGCGTAAGCAGAATGACAATGGTTTAGTAACTGTTTCCAAGAGACTTAGTGCACCTCACTTAGCAGCCTGCTCTCAGTTTACTGTGATCAGTCTTGAACTCTGTTGAACTATGTTATATTTGATGCTGCCGCATCACTGTAGTATAAATATAATTTCTAAAAAAATGCTAAAAATTATTTTTTTTTCATAAACTCTCAAGAGTCGACATCATTCAGTGCCTTCATTCATGCTCTCAATTCATTAATTTCTGAATAGGAAGGAACTTACTGCTGATGCTCGTGAGCTGAAGGGAGAACTCTACTGCTTACCCTGCCATGACAAAATGGGTGTCCCCATCTGTGGGGCATGTAGAAGACCAATTGAAGGCCGTGTGGTGAACGCTATGGGAAAACAATGGCATGTGGAGGTAAATATCAGATGATACATAATGTCTTTTACAAATGTAAACATTAACATATTTACTGTTAAAAAATCTGTGATTTTGCTGATCAGTTTCAATGAAAGGATTATCGAAGTTTGCAACAAGAATTATAGATATTTTCTCTGAATCCCTCTTCAACTTTATTATGGCTAGTCTTCCACTGTGGAATAGGAGTAATTTCCTATCTTACAGGGAGCTTTGACTGTGAAACTAAGATCAGTAATCAAAGGAAGCATGGTGAGGTCCTTACAAAAGAAAATTTCAGAGTGCAAAACCGTGCATGTACGATCTGTGGTAATCATGTTACTGAGCATCATAATACCCTTAGGTCTTCCATAGTCACCTGCCATATACATATCTCTTAACAGTTCATGTGAGAGTTCTTATTTCAAGGCCATCTACAAGATTGAGTTCCACATCTTCCATTTAGTTTAGAAAATTTAGAAAATCTCCTCTAGGAAACGCTTCCTTCACTAGAGTGTAATGATGGTGCAGATTATTTAATAACTCCTAATTCTGTTCATTGATTAAAAAATGAGAATCCTTTGCTTGATTTTTTTTTTTTTTGGTAACTTCTGGATTGAAATTTTGAAGACATTAAAAGAAATATTATTTTAGTAGTCTAAATGTAGTTTAACTTTGCTGTGCCATGAGATGGCACAGCTAGCTCAGTAGACTTCAGTCATGTTCAGTAGTGGACTTGGTTGGTTTGCTTTCCAGAAAAAATAACGTTACTTCCAAAAAATAAAAAAAATTATGTGTCATTTTCTTGTTAGCATTTTGTTTGTGCAAAATGTGAAAAACCATTCCTGGGTCATCGTCATTATGAGAGAAAGGGCTTGGCGTATTGTGAAACTCACTACAATCAGGTAAGGTTGCATATTTTTAAAAATGCCATTAATTGGTAAACTCACAAATTGATTTTATTAGAGATGTAAAACATTCTTCTGTTTTGTTGAAGGCACCTGTGGGTGTAATGCCAATTAGGAGATGTTCTGTTGCAGTTAATTTATTCAGATTTCTCTATTCATCATTCTTGCATAGAGAAAGAAACCTGCAGGTATTTCACAGGACAATCAGTATCAAGATGTTCTTCAAGCTTAGTCTACTTAAGTAGAGCTGTTACAGGCTTTTAGATGCCTGTGAGATCAGAACAGCTAATGACACCCAGTCTTTACAAGAAGTTAAAGAAGATTTGCCACTCAGTAACTGCAGTTGAAGACTAGGCTATAGTGAGTAGCCTAGGTTTTCCTACTGCTGTTAACTCTTAGGATGACTGTATGGTCACATAGCTGCATCACCCCCTCAGTCATTAAGTTGATGAAGACCTCGAAGACTTAAATTTGTCAGAAGACACCACCTAGTGACCACTTGCATTTATACAGAAGTTATATATTGCAGTTCCCTCTCTCCAGACTCCCTTGGTTGTGGAGTCCAGCACCATGATGTACAGACCTTTTTTATTTGGAAGCCATATCTGCGTTGTGTCACATTCACCTCCTTGCTTACATAAACACAAGAGCAGGGATTAACATCTGGGAGTTGTAAGGCACCTACTAATTACAGAGGGAGTCTTAATTTGTCGGTGGTGAAGGGCAGATGATTGTTGCTGGCTTACTTGTAGACTATAAATGCCATGATGTTAGTAGTAATAGTGTTGCAGCTGTGATGGGGCAAATACATATACCAGACAAGAGCTGTATGTAGAGTGGATGTCTTTTACTAGGTTAACTACTGCAGTTAGAAAAAAATACACGAAATTTTGAGCACTTCTTAATTGTTATATTATGGACAAATGTTAAGCCTGGAAAAAGAATGAATAATTTTTGTCCTAAAGTTTCCTTTTCGTTTTTTTTAAACTAAAAATAATGTTTCCTTACAGTTTTTGCCAGAAACAGCAATATGTCATTCTAATCATGCGTGTAAGTCCAGATGTTCAATTATTTGGTTAGTAACAGTGTGTATGTGACACCAACTGCTGTATTTCAAATGTTCAGGATTAGAGAAATGTTAAAAGAAAACAAAATCTGATTTACAGAGGATCAAATAAAGGTAAACAAATGCGTATCTTAAATATTATAAAGACCTTTTGTGATAAGATGATGCAAAACGTACTTGGAAAACCAAACCAGACTTGCCAGCATTCTCCTTATTTTACTGGAACAAATAGGAAAACAACTGTGCCCATCAGCTGAAATACAGTTATTTTGTTAGTTTGAGAAGTTACCCTCGATAAAATCATCACAATAAAAATCCCTTACTTCTCTTTCCTCTTCAGCTATTTGGTGATGTTTGTTTCCATTGCAACCGTGTGATTGAAGGAGATGGTAAGCACTTTTCTGTTTCCTTAATGTTCCTTTCTGATGGAAGTTCTCTTTAAAAGTGACAGTAAGGGGAAAACAGCCCTGTGTTGAGTCCTTGATTGTTCTCATTAAAAAAACCCAGCCATTCTCTTGATCAGTAATTAAATTAGAGCTAATTAATCAGAGACTAAATGGTAAGAAAACCTTATAGCAAGCATTTCATGATGGTAGAAGACCACCCAGTGGCTGAAGAAAACCGTGAAACCCCTTAGTGACATGTAAAGGCCAGGAATGCTGGAAGATGCTCAGGAGCGGCTTCCTGCCCCACCAGCTTCAAAAAGAACACATGCAAGGGTGAGAATGACCACACAGACATCTCCTCAAAGGAGGATCATGAACCAAATTTGAAAAAATATTTAGATACTGAAAGACGTAGGTGAGCACTTATAGGAATTTTTATAAAGTGCCTTATTCCCATTATGCCAGTGGTTCCTGGAGATATTTACCTAGGCTAATATTAATGTCACAAAACCAGGAATGATAATACTTGGAAATATGTGTCCTGTAAAGGCAGAACTAATAGTGATTTGTTTGTTTTGTTATTGTTTGATTGGGGGTTTGGTTTTTTTTTTTGGAGGGAGGGTGGTTTTGAGAGGCTTTTTGGGTAACCAGCTCTGATAAAATGCCAAAAGCAAATTATTCTGCCTGAAATAATGCGACATTATGTGCCTATTTACCCCTACCCAAAGTAAATACTATAATACCAATGCTAACCCCACCTAAGCCGAAGCCATTAGCAAAGTAGGAGGAAGCCTCTAACGTGCAAAACGAGACATATACTCATTTTAGTCATGTAACTATAGGATAAAACATACATTCCAGAGATGTGCTTTCCACACATTTTCTGGACTGGACTATAACTACAGAATGACAATCCAAAATGCTTTAAAGGAAACAGAGTCCTCCTTTTCATTAAAATTCTACTAAAATGAGCAGAACTGGAACTTGTTGGAGGACTACTTCTTTGTATGATTGCAAACTTTCACTATATAATCTGACACCTATAGTGTATGTTTTGGTCTCTGAACTGAACAGAATATAGTACTGAACAGAATATAGTAATTTCTTTATTTTCAATGTATGTGTTTGATTACATTTTGTCTTTCATTTCTGTGCACAAATTTGACACTTTTTTGTTGTCGCAAATTATAAGAATCCAATATTTTGCTGGATTTCTCTTCAGCTGGAAACGTTTCCTGATTAAATTGGAAACACGGCCTCATAGAATGGTTGCCTGAGATCAGCATGGTGTATGATGAGGTGGAAGCAAAAATAGGAGGCAAAAACAGGTTAAGCCAGTCTTGCCTCAGAGACAGCTTTATCAATGCTTCACAGTTCTGCTACGCTACACTCTACATTTGCCTCCCTAGTCCTGCCACATAATTATTATGGTCCTTAATACCTGATACAAGGATCAGTGACTGTTCTTCACACCTCATGAATATGTGAGGTTAAAATTTTTGTAATACCTTTTTTTTTTGGCAATGCTAATGATTTCTTGGTTTTCACATCTCCCTAGTTGTGTCTGCTCTGAATAAGGCATGGTGCGTGAACTGTTTCGCTTGTTCAACTTGCAACACTAAGTTAACACTCAAGTAAGTGTATCAATAAGTGTGATGATTTCAAAACATATCAGTAGTTCTCTTCAAAGTGTAAATATTGCTACAGTGTAGCTGTAACTGTATGAAGAACATCTAAGCAGCATTGAGGAAATATGTGCATCTTTCTTCCTCTTGCTCCACTTACTACTTTATGTCTCTCTCAGTTGTCTGTTCAGGTCTTCCTTCAGTTAGGCTTCCTAACTCTTCTCCTTTTCTGTCCTTTATTTTTCTGTGTTTAACTCTAAAGGGATAAGTTTGTTGAAATTGATCTAAAACCTGTCTGCAAACACTGTTATGAGAAAATGCCAGATGAATTTAAGCGACGGCTTGCCAAACGGGAACGTGAAGCAAAGGATAAAGAGAAGCAGAAAAAGAAAAAGCCAATCTGTTTGTAAACTTTTTTCCTTCTTACCACCATCCCTGCTGTTTTCTTCTTTGGTTAGTGCTAAGGATGCTTTTTTAAGCTTCTGCATGAATTTATGGCAATCAAAACCAAAATATTTTTTATGCAACTGCAACTTAAATATTGACTTATGATTCCATTATCTTATGTTTAGTCTCTTTATCTGTACAATTAGGTTCGAAAGGCTTTTTAAATTACATGGTTAATGAAAACGGACATCTGGGTAAAAACTGTGTAGCTTACTCAACAGGGTACTGTAATCACTGTCTACAGTGTATATAACTTTGTAAAAGTAACTTAACATATATGTATAAATTGGAGGTTTAATTTTTTGCTTGTGCACATTTAATAGGAGATTTTTTTTTAATTCCTTTTTTCACAATCTCATCTGCTAAAAATTTGGGGTTTGCTTTGTTGTTTTAGGAATAAATTCGTTGAGTTTGATATGAAGCCTGTCTGCAAAAAGTGTTATGAGAAGTTTCCTCTAGAGCTGAAGAAAAGACTGAAGAAACTAGCTGAAACTTTGGGAAGGAAGTAAAGACTTCATCTGCTCTCCCCTTCCTTTGCAAAAATCTTAGAGATATTACTTGGTGGGGTGAGGTGGGGGACAGGCTGTGGGCTGCTTTGATGCTGCAGTCAGACAACAAATGATGATGTATGCCTTCTATCAAAATATCATAAGATTCTCTGTTCTCTTTACATGTATACTTATTTGTTGATAAACAGACAGTACTTCCAGACTAAATTAAATAGCAGCTCACCCATTCTGTACACTAATCTCTGTGGAATTTTACAGAGAGAAAATTTGCTTGTGAGCACCTGTGAAAACAAACTGTGCAAATGTGCCCAACTTTAGGGGCATGAATTGTCACTTATGTTAATGAAAATATTAACCTTCATATTAAGCATGCAGACAAAACTTGTTCAACTCATGTTGTGATTTGGGCAAGAAACCAATGTACTTTGCCTCATAGAAAAATTCATGCTTGGATTTCAGGCTGAGAAGTTTCATTAAGGAGCCTTGTTTCAGATGGTTTGAAAACTATCAGATTTCTAAATAAAGTCACTGTACAAATTACCTACTTCAGATAGATTATGCTTACATGATGAATGTTTGTACATCAGGCTTAGCATGAGATACCTATATAAAAATGTATTCCTATTGCAAGAAATGAGCATACTCAGAACTACTTGAATTTTGCTATATTCCACTTAAAATAACACATTAACTTTTATATATGCTTTAGCATTTTATTTACTTTTTGTGCCTTATTCTGCTGGACCATACATAACAGTGTTCCATTAAACATATATAGTTTTATTTTTTATTTCATATTTTTATGCAAAAACTATATAGAAGGTATTTTCAAAAGATAACATACTTTGCCTTAATTATAAAGGATGTGAGAAGCATTTTATTTCAAATGTGAACATCTGAATTTAAAACGTAGCTTCTAGACTGCAGTAATTTTCAGAAAAATACTGAAAATGCATATTTCAATTAACTGGCAATATTACTTTTACACCTGTGAGTGTAAATATGCAAGGTTCGATCCTGCTAGGATCTACTTCTTTAGCCATCCTCATGGACTGAGCTTACAAATAATCAAAATTCCTTATAACATACATTTAATTCTTTTATACTGTTGACTTCTGTCCATGCAAATTTGTTTTATTTTTCCCTTCTTATAGAAAATACAGTTACTTAGGACTTCTTGATGGTACTACATTATGAAGTACACAAACTTTTTTTAACTTTTTTTTATATTAGTGATTTAAACAGATTTTATGTAATTACATAATAGGAAGTAAAATTTTCTTTCCTGTTTATGAAAAATAAACATCTGCTTTCCACTGTCATCAATAAAGGTCATGTTATTAAACCTTGTATCACCTCTCTGAAATGAGTGCTTGAGAAGGGTGGGAAAGCAGTAAGGCTCTCTTGGTTCTGTGGGCTTTTACCTTGAATAAGTAAATACTTCCTTATTATCCTGTTTTAAAGGAGACATATATCTTTCCTAAAGGCATATGTCTGTAGTTAGTTCTAAGGTTCATAAAAGAAACCACAGTTTGTTTCATAAAGAACAACTCGATTCTTCTAGATATTTTCTGAATAGGCACAGTCACTTGGTTTTCCTAAAGAAGGTATCTTGTCTGAGTTTAAAACATACACCTTCCTATTAACTTTTTCTCTCCTTTCACTGTAATGAACCTGTCACCCCAAACTTCCAGTTTAGTGCTAGGTAGGATATTTTTTGACTGTTTTATCTTACATAATTATTGAATGCCATAACATTTATAAATGCAGTCCTGACTGCGTTGAAGACTACAAAAGCTTAAAATGTCCCCCAAAAGCATTTACATAACTAGCATGGCAGCCCTGTTGGACTCTGCCATGGATTCAGCAGACCAAACTCAGCAGTGCTTCCCCTTGAAGTTGTAATTGACTTCTAGGTTTTTCACGTTACAGTGGCTGCACATCTTTTCCTTCAGCCTACGTGTGCCCAGCCTTACCGCTCAGAGTCGGGAAGGGTCCCTAACCTTGAGGCTAAACGGCAAGACCTGGATCACATCCCTGTTGCTTGGGGTTACATCCACCTACAGCACAGTGGCCTTAGGTCTGCTCTCCACTCTGGCAGCCCTGGGCCTTGACACAGGGTGGGTTTTCCATTTCCAAGTTCCTGATGGTGAACACTGTGCTACCGTTCACCAAGGCAGTGGTTTCTGTTTCATGAACACGAGCAGGTGTATCTCAGATCCCACAATGTAGCACTGAGAGCATCTGGAGTACTCAAAGGTTGAAAGCCTGATGAAGCATGGAATAATATTCATTGGAAGGGACCACTAGAGATCAGCTAGCCCAGGCATCTGCTCAGAGTTGGATCAGTACAGAAGCCAAGCCTGTGAGTGTTGCCACAGAAGGAGATTTCTCAGGCCTTTGTGGATAGTATGTTTCAGTGCTTCATCACCCTCATAGTGAAAATGTTTTTGTTTTTATTGGGGTCCTATCTCAAGTGGAGAATTCCCTAAATCCATACAGCTCTCCTGAGAGCTGTCTATGGTGTGAACTGTCATTAGAATAATACCTCTGGACATTTTCATGAAGAGGATTAATTAAAAGAAGTTGCAAAGCAGAGCCAGGGAGCAAGGTAGCAATTAGACAGCCTGAACAATTATACATCTGGTGTTGAAACTCATTTCCTGTCCTGGCCCATCAGTATTATAAATATTTGGCATAGCTGCGCATAATTTCCTGAAAGAGGCAAGATCTATTATGCCCCTACAAAGTCTCTCAAAGACGCTGTGAGTCTGGGATTTGGGAATGGTTGCCTCAGAAGCTTTGCCCCTTTCTACTCCATCAATCAATCACGTGTGGTCAAGAGAGATTCCTTTAGAAGCCCCTGCTTAGGCTAACAGTAGGGAGCACTCCAGAAAGCCCAATGGATGTTGCTGTAGGGGGAAGAAGCTGAGCCTAAGCCATTTTGCTGCTTGCAGTGGCAAGCCTTGTGCTCTGTTCCCACGGATAGGTAGTGACCTGAGCTGAGCACAGTCTGATTGCACGGATAGCACTAGAGTCAATGCTGTCCTGCCCGATGTTGTGACCACCAGGGACAACATGGGGGTGCCACTTCCACAGGGATGGGCAAAACAGTGACCAGTGTGGAAGTACTGGACCTGGTCTGTATGAAGGCAATTGCCCATGCCTCCCTATCAGCTGAAGAGCAGTAATGTTCTCCAGTGAGACAACTGAGTAAACTCCAGTATAGTCCCCTTGTCATGGTTTGAGATAGTCCCCAAATCCAATTCCCTAGCTCCATTCCCCCTCCCACATCTCAACCTAGTGTGAGATGGGTTTTTCCAGACAAAACACACCAGACTCAAAGTGGGGGAAAGGGAATATATTACAATGACTGTACAAATAAATACTATATCACATTATACACATGATCACAAACTATCTCTACCATGACATATGTATTTACAGTGGATCAGATCTCTTCTCCCCTCCAAATAAAAGTCCAGGAGGGAAAGAAGGGCAGATCCCTTTCAGTCTTTGAACAGCAGCATCTTCTGAGGCAGCAGTCTGTCTGTCTTCTCCACATGCAGCAGCTGATAGCTGGATTTCTGCCAGCACTCACGAGGGAGGTATTCAAGCCTCTCTCGGCCCCATCGCCTCCAACCGAGGGGTCTTCCGTGGGCTTCGTAACCCCAGACAAGGTCGTATCACCACGTCATATCACGAAGACTCAGGGGGGTCTTCGTGACGGTCTGGTATCTCCAGGAGACTCAGCTCCTTTGCAGGGCCTCTGTGCCCTGTCTCTCAGGCTGCCACCGTGGCAGCAGTGGCAGCAGTGCAAGGTGGGGGAGAACCAAGGTCAACTCCCCCCGCATTCCTCTGGCCGTCCCGGTCCAGCTCCGGGACGCTCTGAGCTTCTCAGCTCCTCTCTCTCCGGTGCTGCATGTCTAAAACTCTTCTCCTTAATAGGAGTCCATCTCCCTCTTTTCTCAGAGGGATCTCAAAGGAGTTTTGGGGGGCTGGTACAGTCTTACCCCCAGAACTCTGTCTCTCAGGCTGCTGGCTCTCTTTCTCCTCGGCTCTCTTTCCAGGAGTCTTCTCTGCAGTGCTGCATGTTGTTTCTGCTGCTCCCTCAGGTTCAGGTCTTATCTCTGGCTCTCTGCCACCGTTTCTCTGGTCAGTGCCGGCTGCTGCTCTGTGCCCATGGAGAAAACATCTCCCGGCATAACTACAGGCACCTAGCCCAGCTTTATGCTGTTCCAGGTCCCTGTAGCCCCCCCCAGCCAGGGGCTGGGAGGGCCCAGAGGGCCCAAGGGGCTCAGAGCCCCTTCCTCATGGCTCACAACATGGCCACCTCTCCTGCAACAACCAACCTACAACTCATCTCTTCCGGTGAGCTTGTGATATGTTTACATTTCTGCAGGAGCGCCCATTGGACAGAACTCCAAAACTTCCAGGGGTTTCCACCCCTTGGGGTCTACCACTTTTCTAGCCTCTGGGGGAAAACAAGATTCAAACCATGACACCCCTGTACCAGCACGAAGACTTTTATTACTTAACCTGGCAGGTGCAGATAATAAACTGGTTAGTAACCCCAGCTGTAGACACATCATTAAAAAGTACAGAGAAAAAAAATGATCTTTTTTTAGGAATTAAATCCAATGGCTAAATCACCATTAATAGAAGAAATAATAAAAGAGAGGCTCAATTTGTTCAGTCAAGGTGTTACACGGATGCTAGTGGTCTCCTTACAAAAACAAGTTGGCTATGTTTCCTTATTTTTCCTGCAAAGAGGGTAAGATGTGGGGCCATAGGTATTTTTTAGATGTAGCAGGAATCATATGGCTGTCAGTGGGTTGTCTGAGATTGAGAACTGGAGGGATTTTTAATTATACTTCTTCAGAAACAGAGCCCAGTGGTCTCATTTTGACCGAAGTGTCTGAATTGGCAGGAGAGATGGATAATTCCAGCGAGTAGAATCTGAGGCTGCCTGCTGGGAATTTCACCAGGGGACCACTATCCTCAAGCCACCAAACTCGTACAACTACAACTTGCAAATCTGTCCTGCCTTGAGGGTTGCTGATCTTGTCATCTTCTGGTCCATGTTCCCAGATGTACTTTAGAGCTTAATTGTTTAATTGTACTATTCACAGTGCCTGAAAAATAAGTTTCTCACCACAGCTGCTACAGTATTTGGAGACTCATTTTCTAGAGCATCGGGTCTCGGTGATAAGGCTCTCATGCTTACAGATTAAATTTATAGCTGCTGTGAATGACCCAATATAGAATTACAGAATGTTAAAGATTGGAAGGGAACTTAAAGATCATCTAGTCCCAACCCCCATTGCCATGTGCAGGGAAACCTCCCATGAGACCAGGTTGCTCAAGGCTTTATCCAACCTGGTCTTGAACACTGCCAGGGTTGGGGCATCCACAACTTCCCTGGGCAATCTGTTCCAGTGTCTTACCACCCTCACAGTAAAGAATTTCTTCCTAAAATTCTGACCTAAATTTCCTTTCTTTAAATTTGAACCCAATACTCCTTGTCCTATCACTGTAGTACCTGACAAAGAGTCCCTCTCAGGCTTCCCTGTGGCCTCCCTTCAGACACTGGAAGGTTGAAATGAGGTCTCCAAACATCCTTCTCTTCTCCAGGCAGAACAGCCTCAACTTCCTCAGCCTGTCTTTGTAGGAGAGGTGCTCCAGCCCTCTTGTCAACTTGGCCCTCCTCTGGACTTGTTCCAGCAGTTCTGTGTCCTCCTTATGTCAGGAGCACCAGAACTGTTACAAAGTTTTAGGTGAGAGTTTATTTTATATACATATATATATACAGAGAGAGTATATTTCTGCTGTGCCTTTTGCAACCAGTCTTGTCTATCTCGCATTGGCTTTTTTAGCCACCAGCGCGCTTGTAGCAAATGTGGGTAAAGCCCTTCCCAAATCTTCGTTCGCGAAGCCTGGTCATGAATGAATGAGTTATTTAGCTGATAAATATATTATCACCTAATACATTATTATATATTATTTGGATGAGAGTTACACAGTTTTAGGTGAGAGTTTATTACAGCTGCAGGTGAGCAAACGCTACAGCCCGGCCTCACGCACCCGATGATTTACCGTGACAGATTTCCCCGCCCCGCCCTCAGCAGCTGCGCGCTCCCGCCCCGCCCCCTTGCGCATGCGCCGCCCGGCCGACCCGCGCCCCCCACGTCCGTTGATAGAGGGCGGGGCTGGTCCCGCCCACTCGCGGCGGCTGCGCGCGCCGCACGGTGGCGGGGACTTGCACCGTTAACGAGCGGCGGCCGGCGTCGTGCTGCGCTTCCTCGGCGGCTTCTGCCTGCCTCTCCTGCGCTCCTGCTTCCTGCCCCTCC